CGCACGCTTAAGGTTTCAATGACAGTTATAACCTCATAATATAACCGTCATCGAACTTTAAGCGTGCGGACCCTACGGGTTCGTGAACTATGTAGACATGACCGAGACACGTCTCCGGTCAATAACCAATAGCGGAACCTGGATGCTCATATTGGCTCCTACATATTCTACGAAGATCTTTATCGGTCAAACCGCATAACAACATACGTTGTTCCCTTTGTCATCGGTATGTTACTTGCCCGAGATTCGATCGTCGGTATCTCAATACCTAGTTCAATCTTGTTACCGGCAAGTCTCTTTACTTGTTCCGTAATACATCATCCCGCAACTAACTCATTAGTTGCAATGCTTGCAAGGCTTATAGTGATGTGCATTACCGAGTGGTCCCAGAGATACCTCTCCGACAATCGGAGTGACAAATCCTAATCTCGAAATACGCCAACCCAACAAGTACCTTCAGAGACACCTGTAGAGCACCTTTATAATCACCCAGTTACATTGTGATGTTTGGTAGCACACAAAGTGTTCCTCCGGTAAACGGGAGTTGCATAATCTCATAGTCGTAGGAACATGTATAAGTCATGAAGAAAGCAATAGCAACAAACTAAACGATCAAGTGCTAAGCTAACGGAATGGGTCAAGTCAATCACATCATTCTCCTAATGATGTGATCCCGTTAATCAAATGACATCTCATGTCTATGGTTAGGAAACATAACCATCTTTGATCAACGAGCTAGTCAAGTAGAGGCATACTAGTGACACTCTATTTGTCTATGTATTCACACATGTATTATGTTTCCGGTTAATACAATTCTAGCATGAATAATAAACATTTATCATGATATAAGGAAATAAATAATAACTTTATTATTGCCTCTAGGGCATATTTCCTTCATCAGGAACATCAACATTGATGGTGTCTGCTCTTGGGTGTGTGTCCACTCTGGCATAAGTGAATCAAGTGGCTGACGAGGGCCCATGGCATGCTTGCATGTAGCCATCCCATAGGAGAAGATCTGTTGCATTTGTGTATAGTTTTGGATGGGGATGTTGAGGTACTCAACGTCATTGGGGTGGTCCTAACACAGAAGCGAAGCGATGTTAGTTGTGATTGACACGATCAATATGCTAAACTATTGTATAAAGTGGTATGTGAGCTAAGCATCGTGTGGCCTTGGTAGTGCTCGGACTCCAACAAAATTGTGAAGGTGTCCTGATGCATCACTAAGGTCTCTCAGTTTGGTACTCGGATCCATCTGGCTAGTTCCTGAGGTGGTTGTAGACCTGGGTCGAGGTCACCTCTTGGACATAGAAGTCGAAGATCCGCTTTGCAACATTGTTCATGTGCACCTCCTTCAAGACATTGTCAGTCCTTCCCCCATTGGACATGATCTCGCACATCTTGTTAAGCATGAAGGTGGACAGAAAAGGCAACCACTTCATTGTGTTCCCCCTGCCAAAGACCTTCTCCTTCCCAGCCTTCATGGTTGTCTTATGTGCGGCAGTAGTTGTAGCATTAGGCATGGCCATCACAAATGAGGGCTGAATAGGCACCTCGAACACCTCTGAATCCTGAAGTATCTCTTGGATTAGGAGTCCTCGACATAGGACGACATACACTGGCCGAACAGAATAATGGCCTGGCTGAACTCTTGGATGCTCATGTTCTACAATGGTTAGGATCAGTACTAGTGACACAACATTACACAATTAACTCGACCACCACAGCTACACATTGAACACTGGCAAGTTCATAGCACAGTTCATACCACATGCATACAAGAGTGCTACCAATGAGTTCGAAGCATTACATACGCGGCTGCCGCAACTACATATCGGCCATACTATTATCATGCCATAATGCACATGTTCAGATTTACATGGTGACAGATCTACGATAGTATCATTGGAGCCGAACTAAAGAACACCATGAAATCGGATTACCAAACCCTACCGCCCTAGCAATCCATCACGAGATCAACACTCTGCAATGCTACCAATCTCATAGATCTACCCCGATCACATGCTCGCAGATCAAAGCTACAACAAGTAGGGAGGGGGGGTTGATAGAACTTACAACCATCAAGGAGTAGGGAGTCGACGCGGAAGTCGTCGGAGAAGAGGAGGATGACGAAGTGTCGTCGCCGTCCAGTGCCGATCGGAGAAGATGTGCTTACCTGTTGGTCGTCCATGAAATCGCCTGGGACAAAGAGCGTGTGGGGGAGATGGTGGCAAGGAATCAGCAGGAGGGCAAAGCCGTGGGGGGCTAAGTGTTCGATTCGGCGGGAGGTGACCCAATTCCTCGTGCCGCTTTTTCGACGCACACGCTCGAGCTCGCGCCACCCCGTCCTCGCATTAGCTCGGTGCGGTGTTCCTCTCCTCTGTACGCCGCGAGCCTGACTAGGAGAAAACAGTCGATTCGACCGTTCCCACCGGGCCTGGCTGAGAGGTGCTTTAAGAAGCATGCGATACGAGCCCAACAGTGAAAAGAGAAACTAAACGGGCCAAATTTGCACCAAGCAGGGCTGGTTATTAACGGTAATGTAGGTAACCCGTTGGAGATGCCTTGAATGCGAAAAGAACATGAGATCCTGCCGTGCCAAATGCTGGATGTCCCGGTTCTTATCCCGTCATCCGAAGGCCAGTACAAATCAGGGATTCACCAATGGCCGTTCCCATGCGGCAAAGGGAGCAAAGACCGTGCGGCGCGGCACTCTGCGTCGGGCCGCGGGGCCACTGCGCGACGCCAAGGCCAGCGTGCAGCATCCAATGCCTCACTCTGCCCGAGCCACCGTCTTCTGACACAGGTCAGTGCATGCAAAGCTACAGCCCTGCGGACTGTCCCCGAGCGGAGCCCCAGAAGAAACCACTCCCCCCGGCCACCCCGCCACCGCGGCATGACCCCCACAACCCAACCCGACGAGAAAAGGAAAAATAATCGCCTGCCTTTCACACATACTACTCCTACCATATGTCACAGGCGCACGCACAGCAACCAGCAGGGACGCGTGCCATCGAACTCAGCAGGTTTATAGTTTGAAAAGCCGCCCAAGAAAAAGCTACACGACGCGACAAAATCCCTGCGGATTTCGTTTCTGCACGATCTTGCCCCACGCCAACGCGCCATGACGGACGGACGGACGCGGCGGGGACGGGACGAGGCCGCCCTCGGCCTCAGGTGGCGCGCGCGGCGGCGCTGTGGGTGGCGTGGAGGATGCCGGCGGGGGAGAAGCCGATGGCGCAGGGCGGGGCGGTGGCGGTGCTGTCGCTGTGCGCCCGGGCTGAGGGGGCTCCTTCCACAGGCTTTCTTGAACGGCCGCGGCCCCGGTGGACGTGCCGCTCGCAGTACTTGTGCCCCTGCACCACGTCGCGGGAGCACCGCCACTTCTTGCCGTCCGTGCGGCGGCACCGCCCGGGCTCCGGCTCCATGCTGCTCCGGTAGTCGAAGCACAGGCTCCCCAGCCCAATCACTGCCATTCAAAAGACGACCAACGGCTCATCCAACAATCCACCGACACTACAGGATGTCGAGGTGGCATAGGAAACGTACGGGAGGGGAAGCGGTGCGGGCCGAAGGAGGAGGCGGCGACGCTCTTCCAGATGGGCAGCACGAGGTGCACCGGCACGGGCACCCCCGCCGCGAAGTAGCGGTAGATGAGCACCTGGTGCTCCAGCTCCTGCTGCTGCATGAACGTCAGCGCCGACTTCGCCGCCGCCCGTGCTTCGAAGGCCTGCTGCTCGCCACGGCTATCGCCACCGAGCCCCAGGCCGAGGCCAAGACCCAGCGGCGACGAGACCGCCATCGTCACCGCCCCTACAAGACAACAACAACAACGCATGGAACAACTCAACATCTTCAGGTGAACACAAGCCGCTTGCTCTTACAGCTTTCCTGGTGTGGCTGCACGTACCGGCGTTCGAGTCGGCGGAGGAGAGGCGGGGCTGCTTGGACGGCGGCTGCAGCGAGTCGGCTTCTTTCTCGTCGGCCATGAGGAGACTCCGGCGTGCGCCTTGTTGGTTTCGAAGGCTATGGAGGGAGAGTGTTCTTGACTCTTGCGACGGTGGGAGAAGGGTCAGTGCTTTTGTCAGAGCAAGTGTATTTATGGATGATGGCTGGTCGCTCGGTAAGTTCTCTGCTCAGGCAACGGTAACTGTCAAACTGACGGGATGCAGAGGGCGTAGAACTGTGGTGGACGCGCGTGAGCGCGAAGCTGGCACGGCATGGCGGGGGGCCCTTGCTGCCGCGGCGCAGGGAGACGACACGCATGTTTTTTTAGCCCGTATGCTCGTGTTTGGCATTCATTTCAGCGTTGGACGGACACCGCCGCGTGACTTCGTGAAAACGAGGTGCCCAAGTCTCGTGGGTGTGGCGAATGGACATGCTCCCCGTCCATCCGTACTTCCACATACATGGCCATGTTTCCCGCGCGTGCGTCCATCCGTACTTCCACATATATTGCTTGATTTGATTGGAACAAAATAAAATCCGGTCCTATTCTCTTAAAATCAGAGGGATGATTAGATTAGAAAGGAAAAATAAAAAAGACAGCCGTAGGATGAAGTGGGAGCACGGATGGAAGCATGGGGAGGAAGCAGGCAAGCCGGATCCGTGGCGAATATGACCTCCTCCCAACGCCCGGATCATGCTGTCCGAATGCAGTTTGCCAAAAGTTGTATAATATTGACATGAAACAATAAATTATTATAGATACAATGTAGACGTATCAATATCCTCAAGCTTAATTCCTACTCGTCCTTGAGTAGGTAAATAATAAAATAAAGATAAATTTTAATGTCGAATGCTACCTAGAATAATTTTGATCATATAATCTAATCATGGCATGAATATTAAGCAAAACAATAGTCTATAATTTGACATAAAGACATTAATACTCAGACATCTCAACAAACAATTATGTCTTTCAAAATATCAATGCTAAAGAACATTATCCCTACACAATCATAGTCTTGTCATGCTCCATATTCTTAACACAAAGTATTTATCATGTACTACCCCGGTGCAATTGGTTCATACTTTTAACATGCTTCAGCTTTTTCAACCCCACGCAATACATGAGCACAAACCATGGATATATCACTATGGGTGGAATAGAATACGGTGGTAGAGATTAATATGGAGAAGATAAAAGAGAAGAAAGTCTCACATCGACGCGGCTAATGAATGAGCTATGAAGATGCCCATCAATTGATATCAATGCGAGGAGTATGGATTGTCATGCAACAGATGCACTAAGAGCTATAAGTGTATAAAAACTCAAACTAAAAACTAAGTGAGTGTGCATCCAACTTGTTTGCTCGAAGACCTCGGGAATTTGAGGAAGCCCATCATCGAAATATACAAGTCAAGTTCTATAATGAAAAATTTCCACTAGTATATGAAAGTGTCAACATAGGAGACTCTCTATATGAAAACAAGATGCTACTTTGAAGCACAAGTTTAACAATGCCCCTTCTATCTTTTCTCTCATTTTATTCTTTTCTTTTTTTGGCTCTTTTTGGCCTCACTTGTGGGGGAATTATAGTCTGCATCATCCTTTCCTCACTGAGACATGCTCTAACAATGAATAATGATGATCATCACGCTTCTATTTATTTACAACTCAAAAAATTACAACTCGATCCTAGAACAAAGTATGACTCTATATGAATGCCTCTGGCGGTGTACCAGGATGTGCAATGATCTAGCGTAGCAAAGTTATCAAAAAACGGACAAGCCATGAAAATATCATTGCTAGCTATCTTACGATCATGCAAAGCAATATGACAATGAATGCTCAAGTCATGTATATGATGATAGAAATTGCATGGCAATATATCTCAGAATGACTATGAAAATGTCATAATAGGTAGGTATGGTGGTGATACGTCTTCAATGTATCTATAATTTTTTATTGTTCCATGCTATTATATTATCCATCTTGGATGTTTTATATGCATTTATATGCTATTTTATATGATTTTGGGACTAACCTATTAACCTATGGCCTAGTGCCAGTTTCTATTTTTTTCTTGTTTTTGAATTTCGCAGAAAAGCAATATCAAATGGAGTCCAAATGAGCTGAAAATTTAAGGAGATTTTTTATGGACCAGAACAAGCCCCCGAAGCAAAAGAGTTGGGCCACAAGAGAGCACGAGGCCTCCACAAGGGCGTAGGGCGCGCCCTACCCCCCAGGGCGCACCCTCCGTCCTTGTCGTCGCCTCATGGACCCCCTTGGCTTGTTCTCGACGCCAAAAATTTCTATAAATATAAAACCCCAGAAATAAACCTAGATCGGGAGTTCCGCCGCCGCAAGTCTCTATAGCCACGAAAAACCAATTGGGAGCCTGTTCCGGCATCCTGCCGGAGGGGGAAACCATCATCGTTGGCTATCTTCTGTTGGGGAACGTAGTAATTTCAAAAAAATTCCTACGCACACGCAAGATCATGTGATGCATAGCAACGAGGGGAGAGTGTGATCTACGTACCTCGTAGATCGACAACGGAAGCGTTTGGTTGATGTAGTCGTACGTCTCCACGGCCCGACCGATCAAGCACCGAAACTACGGCACCTCCGAGTTCTAGCACACGTTCAGCTCGATGACGATCCCTGGCCTCCGATCCAGCAAAGTGTCGGGGAAGAGTTCCGTCAGCACGACGGCATGGTGACGATCTTGATGCACTACTGTCGCAGGGCTTCGCCTAAACACCGCTACAATATTATCGAGGACTATGGTGGCAGGGGGCGCCGCACACGGCTAAGAATATGATCACGTGGATCAACTTGTGTCTCTCTGGGGTGCCCCTGCCTCCGTATATAAAGGACTAAAGGGGGGGGGTGCGGCCGGCCTAGGAGAGGCGCACCAGGAGAGTCCTACTCCCTTTGGGAGTAGGATTCCCCCCCAATCCTAGTTGGACTAGGATTCGCGGAGGGCGGAAGAGAGAAAGGTTGGCCGGCCCCCTCTCCTTGTCCTATACGGACCAAGGGAGGGGAGGGGCGCGCGGCCCACTTTGGGCAGCCCCTTCTCTTTTCCACTAAGGCCCACTATGGCCCATATAGCTCCCGGGGGGGTTTCGGTAACCTCCCGGTACTCCGGTAAAATTCCGATTTCACTCGGAACACTTCCGATATCCAAACATAGGCTTCCAATATATCAATCTTTATGTCTCGACCATTTCGAGACTCCTCGTCATGTCCGTGATCACATCCGGGACTCTGAACAAACTTCGGTACATCAAAAATGCATAAACTCATAATATAACTGTCATCGTAACCTTAAGCGTGCGGACCCTACGGGTTCGAGAACAATGTAGACATGACCGAGACATGTCTCCGGTCAATAACCAATAGCGGGACCTGGATGCCCATATTGTCTCCTACATATTCTACGAAGATCTTTATCGGTCAGACCGCATAACAACATACGTTGTTCCCTTTGTCATCGGTATGTTACTTGCCCGAGATTCGATCGTCGGTATTCCAATACCTAGTCCAATCTCGTTACCGGCAAGTCCCTTTACTCGTTCTGTAATACATCATCCTGCAACTAACTCATTAGTTGCAATGCTTGCAAGGCTTAAGTGATGTGCATTACCGAGAGGGCCCAGAGATACCTCTCCGACAATCGGAGTGACAAATCCTAATCTCGAAATACGCCAACCCAACATGTACCTTTGGAGACAACATGTACCCAGTTACGTTGTGACGTTTGGTAGCACACAAAGTGTTCCTCCAGCAAACGGGAGTTGCATAATCTCATAGTCATAGGAACATGTATAAGTCATGAAGAAAGCAATAGCAACATACTAAACGATCGGGTGCTAATGGAATGGGTCATGTCAATCAGATCATTCACTTAATAATGTGATCCCGTTAATCAAATAACAACTCTTTGTTCATGGTTAGGAAACATAACCATCTTTGATTAACGAGCTAGTCAAGTAGAGGCATACTAGTGACACTTTGTTTGTCTATATATTCACACATGTATTATGTTTCCGGTTAATACAATTCTAGCATGAATAATAAACATTTATCATGATATAAGGAAATAAATAATAACTTTATTATTGCCTCTCGGGCATATTTCCTTCAGTCTCCCACTTGCACTAGAGTCAATAATCTAGATTACACAGTAATGATTCTAACACCCATGGAGCCTTGGTGCTGATCATGTTTTGCTCGTGGAAGAGGCTTAGTCAACGGGTCTGCAATATTCAGATCCGTATGTATCTTGAAAATCTCTATGTCTCCCACCTGGACTAGATCCCGGATGGAATTGAAGCGTCTCTTGATGTGCTTGGTTCTCTTGTGAAATCTGGATTCCTTTGCCAAGGCAATTGCACCCGTATTGTCACAAAAGATTTTCATTGGACCCGATGCACTAGGTATGACACCTAGATCGGATATGAACTCCTTCATCCAGACTCCTTCATTTGCTGCTTCCGAAGCAGCTATGCACTCCGCTTCACATGTAGATCCCGCTACAATGCTTTGTTTAGAACTGCACCAACTGACAGCTCCACCGTTTAATGTAAATACGTATCCGGTTTGCGATTTAGAATCGTCTGGATCAGTGTCAAAGCTTGCATCAACGTAACCTTTTACGATGAGCTCTTTGTCACCTCCATATACGAGAAACATATCCTTAGTCCTTTTCAGGTACTTCAGGATGTTCTTGACCGCTGTCCAGTGATCCACTCCTGGATTACTTTGGTACCTCCCTGCTAGACTTATAGCAAGGCACACATTAGGTCCGGTACACAGCATTGCATACATGATAGAGCCTATGGCTGAAGCATAGGGAACATCTTTCATATTCTCTCTATCTTCTGCAGTGGTCGGGCATTGAGTCTTACTCAACTTCAGACCTTGTAACACAGGCAAGAACCCTTTCTTTGCTTGATCCATTTTGAACTTATTCAAAACTTTGTCAAGGTATGTGCTTTGTGGAAGTCCAATTAGGCGTCTTGATCTATCTCTATAGATCTT